TCTGAAAGACTTCAGCGAATGTCACAAGAATTTGCAGTCCAGCCAATGCCTGCTCAAGTCTGGGTACCGCTGAAAACAAACACCCTGGGGTGTTCCTCTATTTCTTTTCGATCAGGACCCTGCTGACACTAAAAGATAACTGGGGGAGGAAAGGAGAGCTCTGTTATGGAGGCTGGAAGGAACAGGACAGCCCAGTCAGGACACACCTGGGGTGTTGGTCTGACTTTGTTTAGCTCTGCCTGCAGCCAAACTTCAGCTTGCAGTAGTGGTTATACAGCTCCTAGTGCTCCAAAAATATGGTTCCACAAAAGCCATGAGGAGATGTAAGATCTGTTGGGCCAAACATCTCCCAGTGTCCAGGACAGCTGGCAGCTCAGCCACAGACCAAAAACACTTAGAAGAGGCACCAAATCTCCCCTGATCTGCTGGCAGAGCAGGAGCCCTGTATCGGTGGGCTTGAGCCCTTCAGGATAACTTCCATCCCTCCTGTGCCATCTAGTTGGCACAAGGTGACAGTTTGTGTCAGGGCAGACAGGACAGATGACCCCAGAACAAAGCAAAAAGCAGCAGCAAGTGCCAAGCAAGAAAGGACCTCACTTTAGCTCCATCAGTGTGCCAGACAGTTGAGGATACAGCCCCTGAAGCAGTGATCTCAAACCTCTGGTGTCACTGATAGCTGAGGTAGCTGTCCTCACATCTTTAGCTAATTTTCATATGCAAATTGGGCCTCATCTTGCACATTTGATGAATAACCTTTACTACTGCTACTGATGTCCTCTTCAGCACAGATAGGCTGTGCACTAGCCACAATCAACTGTTACAAACCAAGTCTTTCTCGGTCTGCTTCATTCCAGTTTTTGGAGGAGGAAAAGACTAAATTTGACGCTTAATTATTTTAAATAAATTAGTTTCCCTGCTTTGGAGTTAGAGATGTGATTTAACAAGTTGGGGACTGACATTTAAAAGTTTAGTGGTGAGTCAGACTGTGCCAAAAGGGTGCAATTGAGAACAGAGTAGAAAGTGAATGTAAACTCTCTGGAGCTTTAATCTTGATTGCAATATTACTGACAAAACTCAGCCCAGAACTGACCTAGATTCATCTTGCCTAGCTTTATAAACATAGATGTGACACCCCATTTAGAAACTGTTGTCCTACACACCATCTGTAGTTTATGGAGAAAAATCAAGACCTCTGGGGGAAATCAGCCTGATCTGGAATCCAGATTTTAACAGCCTGTTAGCAATATTCCCTTCCCTTTTAAAAGAAGTCTCCTGATTGCATCACCCCTTGCATCTGTGAGCTGTAGGAGTCAGGCTGTTCATAAAAACCTGCTTCAGACACCAGAACATCTAGAACTTACCCTCCCTACTCAACTTTCCTAGCTTGCTGTCTCGCTTGCTCTGTCACTCTCCAGCAATGACCACTGGGGATTCCTGTGGTTCAGGGCACACCCCAGCAGGTTCCACTCTGCACACACAGCAGGTATTGCTCACATCCACACCGGTGTTAAAGCACAGGGTTTACACAGCCATGGAACACATCTCCAGTTGATTCTGAGCACCCACAGGCACAGGACTCCAGATGAAGCCTCATGAGCCTTGTTTAAGAGCTGCCAGTTTGCCGTGGCCCCCATGGCCACCAGGGACACTGCTCTGCTGTCCAGCAGGACCCACACTCCTCTTCCAAAAGGCTGCCCCAGCCCATACTGGTATTTGGGGTTATCCTGCCTCTGCTTTTGGTCATTTTGGCCAGGCTGCCTGGATGCTTCTGAACAGTAGCTCTGTCCTCCAGCCTACCAACCTGTGTCATACAGGGAGGACCCTGCTTCCCTTCACCATCCTCCAATGCACTCTTCCAGGCATTTCAAAAGGTAAAAACATCCCACCTTTGTTTTCTTTTGCCTCTTTCTGAATCCCCCCATACAAGGGGGATCATTACAAAGTGAAATAAGAAACTGTGTGACAGAGTCAGATTACATGAGACTGCACTAATGAAGCTCAGGAAAAGGAATTGAATGGGAAAACTTTCACTATTCTTTTAAGTGCACACAGACAATGTAAGATTCTTATTTGCCTTAAAGGTACATAAATTTTTACTGGCTTTATTTGCTGGAAGCAAAGCATAATGTTCAGTATCACAGTGCAGTGATAGGGGTCTGTAAGTTGTATAGTCACTGGCTAGATCAATAAAATCAAAATGCAGTTTCAAATCAACCAAACATAAAACAACTTCTCTGAAGGCAAAGAACCAGAACAGTCTACAAGGTTGACGGACCATTGAAGAAAAAGATTCAAGAGTTCTTTCAGTAAAATTCTTCAATATGTCAAGGTATAATAAACTGGTATTTAAAAATACACATTGTATTATTCTTAGTCTGGAAATCAAGAGACCACACCACTAATATAACTAACTAAACAAATATATTGATTGTACTATTGAAACACTGTGATCATTTTGCATTTTCTTCAATAAGAAAAAAATATCATTTCTTGCAGTGAACTCAAGATGAAGAGGAATTAAAGTGATAACATTCAAAAGAAGTGCATTTGTTTATATCATCTAAAATAGGTGAAGAATAATGACATAGAAGAAAATATCAAGATGACAATGCAAGCTATGGAAGACTTCAAGATGCCCTTTCATGTTGAAAATCAATGCTAAAGTGTCACTTTCCAGTTCCATGTATCTGTGTTCTCCTTATTTTTTCTCCAAGATTCTCCACGTTTGTAAGTGGCTGCTGTTTTAAAGTGATCAGACTTGCCACGCATTTTATAATTGGGATACTGCCCAGTTTCAGAATTCCAACAGGAAATTAAGATTCTGCAATCACAGTTTGTATTTTGAGAAAAGTAAACATAAGTTGTCCCTATCCTATAAACTAGCTCCTCAGTTAGGGAAAACTGAGACCCTAAGAAGATCTTTTTGTTTCTGTTTTTTTTCCCCAGACACATTTTATAATTGGGATACTGCCCAGTTTCAGAATTCCAACAGGAAATTAAGATTCTGCAATCACAGTTTGAATTTTGAGAAAAGTAAACATAAGTTGTCCCTATCCTATAAACTGGCTCCTCAGTTAGGGAAAACTGAGACCCTAAGAAGATCTTTTTGTTTCTGTTTTTTTCCCCAGAAAAAAATGATGGGCTAGTCTGTAAAGCACACCCACATTACACATGGAAAATCTAATTCCAGGTGTTTCATTGGTATTGATCACAGCAGGGATTGGAACACAGGTGTCACAGGGCAGTGTCCTAAGTGGAATCACACGGTGCTATTAGGAGCATTTTACAAATGCTCCATGAGCTGGGAACAGCCAGAGCACATCCACATATTGCACAGATGCCTCGGGAGTTCACGGGATGAGAAGCACAGCAGGGCTGGGAACAGGACACTGGGGTCAGGCTCCAGACCTTGAGGACTGAACTCCACAGGAAGAGATTGCTTTCCTTAAAGAGAAGCAAGTCACAAGGACACTGGTTGGAAGACACCTCCAGTGGTCACCCAGAGCAGCCTCCTGCCTGACCCAAAGCAGGAGTGCTGCCAGCAACAGCTGAGCTCTGCCACAGCTTTGTCTTGCTCAGCCTTGAATACTCTGACAGGCAAAGATGGCACCACCCACCCAGAGATAAAGCTTCTCCTCATACCTAATCTGAACCCTGCAAGCTTCAGTGCAGCCATTTATCCCTTGCCCTACTTTTTGACTCCACCAGGAAGACTTTGGCTCTGTCATCTCTATCCCTGTTTTTAAACAGCTGTACACTGCTCTGCGCTACACCTGCCCTTCGAGTTCTTCACCGATTCCCTCAGTGTAGCCCTTGTTGACCCACTGAACCCTCTTCTGTATGTAAAGGGGCTGCTACTGCTCCTCTGAGGGATATCCAAACAAATCAGAAAACACTATATTAGGTCACTTCAGCGTTTTTCTCCTTTTCTTTCCCTTCCCTGAACTTCTTTTGCAAAACAAGCATATTACCACAAATAGTTGCAATGATACAAATTAACCTTATCCGATAAAAATTAACATGACCCAAAAGCTGTTCCATTGATGGATGACAAAACATGGGGTTATCTGCTTTACTTAAGGTGCCTAAAAAAGACAGAGAAAGAAACAAAGATTTAAGCCTAGGCTATTCTTCTTTTTCCTAGCTGATAATTGAAAAAAGCACCTGAAAAGAGCAATTAATCTTCCTTATCTGAGCTGACTTATCATAAGAGTCATCACCTTCTGGAGTTGTCTGTTCACTTCATTGCTTACAAATGGAGGGCGATAGACTTGGGCTCAGACATCAAGCTTAGTGTAGATGACTCCCATGTTACTAGCAATGTTTGCTAATAATATGCAAGCTAAACAGACAAGCTAAGTTCCTCTCCTAAATTCAAGCTGGTTTGATAAGCAAGCAAGAGTAAAAATGTAGTTATATTTTGGTAGAACAAGAAGCAGTTACAAATCTAAATGCAAAGATGGCATTAACGGTGCAATTTGCATCACTCCAAAGCTGATGTGCAGCCATTACACTTTTAGTACAGTGTAAAATGTACAGTATATCTTTAATTCAAGAGTTTTGCAGACTCTGGGAAGTTTCACTGCTTTCTTACCACAGTGGACACCTTAACTCTGTTCTCTTACTTTATTCATCTCCTTTATGAAATTCCTATATATTGTTATAAAAGGAACACATGACATATCCTAATTTTATTCTCAGTTGCACAATGTTATTTTATATGATTTGTCAATATTTCACTCATGAAGTGTAGAAATGTAAGCCCTTCTCTGCTAAAAAATCACTCCAAAGCCTAAGTTCCAGCATTATTCATACCCTTGCAACATCATGGCAGATTTAATTTATCAGCACCACTGTCTGTTTCAAAGCTGACAGCCAGGAGTAAGAGCATTGTGAGGGGCCATCACATTTCACAAATGTTTTGGCTGGGAGAGGTAGATCAAAAGCCATTTTGGCAAGGAAAAAGAGGACCCCAAGGAACAGAAATGTAAGAAAAGTACCTTAGTTAGGAATCTATCCACCTCCTCGCTCCGGAGTAGAAGCAGTGAGGAATGAACTGAAACCCTGGCCTCAAGCAGCCAGCAGGTGTGATGGACTGGACTAGACCAAGACAACCAGGAACACACCAAGCAAGTGGGCCAGGAAGGAAAGATGAAGAGTGCTCCCTTCACTCCCGTGCAGAAGCAGCCCTTCCTGAAGACACGATGCAGTGTCATCTGAAAGTCATCTTGGAAAAGGTCTGATTTCCAGATGAAGTGTTTTTCAAAGCCCTTCAGTTGTGCAGATCAGTGTTGGATGACTGATATTGCCATTCTGTCAAAGAGAAATCATTGGGACCAGTGAAAAAACTTAAATCTTAACTACTACAGGTTTTTCTCTTCTATAAAATCTTATTTTAAATGCATTTATATATGGAAACGCTTGTGAAACAAAGTAGACGTTATAGAATTGTAATTCTGTGGTTTTTAACAGAAACACTGTAGTTCTGCCTAAGCCAAAGTTCTTCAAAGGATAAATATATTTAACTGATAGGATGAGAAATTCAGTGTGGCAAAGATCTTATTCAGCCTCAATAAAGTCTGAGCAAGAAAGAGAATGAAAGAGAGACAAATTCACATAAGCACTGGCACTGAAGATACACAGGTGGGGGGAAGGGCCAGGGAGAGATGGACATTTAATACCATAGTTTTGGCAAAGACTCATATCCTATTATTTCAGCTATCAACAGAGCATCCTCCAGAGAGTGGTGCAAAGCAGAAATTCAGGTTCCTCCCAGTCTGAGAAGCAAAGACAAACTAGTTTGCTAACACAAAGATCTGTATTTGTTGACTGGAGTTAAAGAGAAGTATTAATTTTCTTCTGTCAAAATTAAATGGATTTCTATTTGGCTTAATAAAGGTTTTCTGGTCCATAATGTTAAAAAAATAAAAAATCCAGCAGAGAATTGGTAACAAAAGCAAAATATCTCAGAGTTAGGCCCTGTGCCATACCTTGCAGCCATGACCTTCAGCTCCAGCAGGTTCTGCTTCTCCAGCTCCCTTATCTACCTTTCTATATAAGGAGTCCAGCTCACAGAAAGTGAGTTCACTGAGCACATTTTCAGATCAAAAACCTTATTAAAGGAACATAATGTGAGGAAGATAGGACCAAGTGATTGACAGTAATTGTACTGGAAATGGGAAAGGCTGCATAGCCCTTTTTGAAATGCAGATTTTGCAGGACTGGGAGAGGTTGAGATCCAATGCTGCATTGGGCCCATTAAACAGCTTTTTAGGCCAAAAGGGATATCTTTAGAGTTTCACTTCACAGACCACAACATTTCACTGTTTAATTCCTTCATTAAAGCAGTAAGAGTTCATTGTGCTGTATCATATCTAGATTTAAAAGGATTTTCAAGGAAAAGAATAATCTATGAAACTCCTAGATAAAGTTATTCCAGCAGTTATTTAGCTTTGCTGTAAAAAATCCTCTTTTTTGTCACCTGAAATAATCTGGTTTTAGAGATTGAGTAGCATCATGCTTTCATTCACCAGATTAAATTGTCATCCTGTATCAAAAAATGTCACTATGTAGCAACTCTTAAACCATGATAAAATAGCGTGCCAACCTTCTCTTTGTCAAAATGAAAAGATTGTGCTTCTTCACTCCTCACAGGCAGCATATCCAGACCTCTGACTGTGCTGGAAGGATTTCAGAGGCATTTAAAACATCAGTATCACAACTGGACTCAGACCCTAGCAGCTGTTTCACCAGGACAGAAGTGACATCATACCTTAACTCCTACAGGAATCTCTTCAGCAGATATATTCAGGTATCCCTGGTTTCCTTAGTGCCACACTGTACACGGGGTGGCTCCAGAGTTCCCTGACAGCACAATGGCTTTCTCCCACCAGTCAGAGGTGGCAGCTGTGGAAAACGAGCCTGAAACACCTGAGTGAATGCTGTCTTACAGAAGACTACTTTGTGGTGATGCCTAAGGACTTCTAGCTTTTTCATATATTTGCAACTTTCTAGATTTTTTAATATATAGTTGTATAGTCTCTAGTACTTCTTCTGCCCTTTCTCACATTTTAGAATAACACAGCCTTTCTAACACATCCTTGAAGTTCTGTTGAGTCTTATTCTCAAGAAGATAATTTCTGACAAGGACATCTTGTTTTCACCAGTTTTTGAGAGACATAAGATATGGGGCAAAGAAACCCCTGGACCCCAAGGGGCAGACACAAGGGTGGGTTACTAGGGCAACTGATCTCTCCTTGGATGCACCTGCTAGATAGAGTAATTAATTAACCTTTTTAAAATTGCAGAAATCCTATGGCTATGTGCATGCAGCTGTATTCGCGCATCTGAAAGCTTCCATTGAAGAACTGCTTTTTATCTTACCCCTCTTAATATTGTTTGGAAAGTTTTTGTCTTGATTCTAGGTAACGGTGAAGTCAGAAATACCTGAGCTAGCTTTTAAAAACTTCACTGTGACAGCACGGAGCTCTATACAGCTAAATTTATCTTGTTTCTTGGCAGTCTACAGCATAGGCATACTGGGTAAGATTCATCTGGCCAAGTGTAGACATACACATCTGAGCCAGACACCCTTGGCTCCTGCATGGACATCTTCTCTGAGAGTAGGTGTTTGAAATAGATTATATGAGTCACCCCTCAAAAGAGCCTACTTTTCTCCACAGATCACACAGGGAACCTAGAATAGCTCAGAAGTAGGCACCTCCAGGCTGTAGTAAAGTTTGCCAAATTGAATCCCACCCCCTCCAAAGAGAGAGGATAGACTTGAAAAAACACATCAGAAAATTTCAGAAGTCCTGGTTTTGCCTTTTTCTTCTTCCCCTTTCCATCAGACTTGGTATGAAAACATGGAGTGTTTGTGGGAAAATTGAAAAGAGTTTTGTCAAACTTCTTCATTCAAAATTAATCTTTCCAAACACTGTATGATACTATTCGTACTGCTTCACTTCAAACCTACGTGTATTAAGAATTTTAAATTGATTTTATTTAAAGAATCTCTAGCGGAAAGTTACACTTTTTCGTATAACTTTCCACCTTGTTTAAAACTAGCAGCCTTTTGTCAATTCAACATAGTAGTTTCTTCACTTTTTTCTGTATGATTTCATCTAGATCTGGGGAAAAGTGAATGAACACTTCAGTGTTGCATTATGACACCAATGTATATCAGACCATCAGACTTGGTATGAAAACAGAGTGTTTGTGGGAAAATTGAAAAGAGTTTTGTCAAACTTCTTCATTCAAAATTAATCTTTCCAAACACTGTATGATACTATTCGTACTGCTTCACTTCAAACCTACGTGTATTAAGAATTTTAAATTGATTTTATTTAAAGAATCTCTAGCGGAAAGTTACACTTTTTCATATAACTTTCCACCTTGTTTAAAACTAGCAGCCTTTTGTCAATTCAACATAGTAGTTTCTTCAATTTTTTGTGTATGATTTCATATAGGTCTGGGGAAAAGTGAATAAACACTTCAGTGTTGCATTATGACACTAATGTATATCAGGGTACTGCACCAATTGCAGCTTGGTTATTTTGGAGACTTTTCTGTTTCTCATTTGCCGTTTGGCAAGCAACAATAGCTGTGTGCAATGTGTTGCTTAGGAACTACATACTAGATAATGTGTGAACCCAATAATTATTACTGCAGCTGACCTTCATTTCTCTGTAGACATTAATAATTAGAGTACATACTTTCATTAGGATTTAAGGAAAAACCCAACAACTTAAAACACACAAATCCAGATAAAAAACTATTTCTTTCTACTTACAACTGTCCAGTTTCATTCTGATCAAAAATGGGAATAGTGTTTAAGTCATGCTCACAGCTTGAGATCCAAGGGGTCCATGCACCTTCTTAATTTCTTTGATTTATATTGTGAGAACAAAGTGATTGGGCTGGTTGAGCCCACAGTGCTGGAGACAAGGTATTTCAATATTTAGTTCTAGGGATTTTAAAGGAGGTCCTCTGCTACACATTGTTTCAGTAAAAATAGAATAAATTCTTTTTAGCTGAAAAATTCCTCATTTTTATTTTTCCTTCCTTTAGATAGCAAAAACTAGTATTTTATATGAAGAAAATGGTTCTTTTAACCCCTCTTCTGTGCTGTTCCCCTGAGATTCAATAGTTTAAGAGAATCAGGAAGATGTAGCCACAGAAATGACATTCATTTGCCAGTATCAATTACCCAATGAATCAGTATAAATTACTGACTTTAAAAGTTGTGCTAGGTAAATGAGCTGAAAGAAACTCACAAACACAATGATGCTGTTGTCCTCTCCTTGGTTATTCCAATACTTTCATCTTCCATGAGCAAAGTTTTCTCTTACTAGCCTATCAAGTGCATACATTTGAAAGAAGTAGTACTTTTTCCTGTACTACAGCATTACTTCTTTTTCCTTGTTTGAAGAAGACAACCATAGATGTTCCTATTTTAAATGATGACTCAAAATACAAGAAATTCTCAATATTGTCCTAAAGCAAGTTAAATTAAAGTTTTGCCTTTGAAATGGGATGGAACACTATGAGCCAAATTTTCATTTATTTTATGGTATATTTAAACTTGAAGTTTTAGGTGTTCTTTTGGTCTTTCTCAGCAGCTTTTTTAAGTTTCAGCAAGGAAAAAGGTTAGCATACAAAAGCTTAAAAGTTTAGTATTTCTGAGTACAATAAATGAAATACACCTTTTACATCATACCATAAAATTAATTATGCCAGAGAGAAAGCAAACTTGTGTTATAAAAAATCTCAAAGCTTTCTCTGTGAAAAGAATTCAGACCAACAATCAATACAGACATTTGAAAATGCATGGCTACAAAGGTTTTCTCCTCATAATTTATGATTAATTTAAATTTGAATTCCACACTGCAAGATAATGTTGAATGCCCAAAAGATAAATTATAGCAAGACAGATTTCAAATGGAAGAAACTATGAAGTATTTAAGAAACAAGATTATATAAACAGTGCCACATTATAAGCATCCAACTCGTGTGGTAGAGTCCATTTTTATTTTATAGCAACATGATGCAGGATCATTTACAGATTAAAGAGCAGTAACCCTGGTTTTAGACAGAAATCAAATAGTTCTTTGAATGAGACTTGTATCCTCATGTACTTACATAAGTTAAAAATTACATAAAGTCTTATCTAAAGGAACTATTGTTTCACTGTGAAGCATCACTTATATCTTTTACTTGCCAAGTTGTCAAACTTTTTATGAGTGATATCTGAGTTTCCTCAGTCATTCTGTGATTGGTATACAAGCATAAAGCAGTATTTAACTTTTTGAGCATGTAACTGCACTTGTTGGCTGACTTGATTATTTCTTTTGTGTATAGAACAAATTACATTGCACTAGACTTTGTTGCAGTACAAGGTTTGTGTCATCCCTTTTCATTATTTAACTTTTTTTTCAATAGACTCACACTGTAACTACATTAATTATAATGAAAATTACTAATTATAGTAGTAATACTCATTATATTGTGCATATATTAACAGCACAAGCAGCACTTGATTCCTGGTGTACAGCACACTGGAAATTCAGTTTGATTTTTGTGGCTCTTACTGCATCCCAAAACTGCTCTTGCCCCCAGACATACAAGGTCCTTGTGTTACAGCACAAGTTTGTTTCAGAATCTTGTACATTCATTTTATATACTTTGAAACTTAAGCATTTTCTCTTTACTTGCAGATTTCCTCACTCCTTGACACTGGTCAACTCTTCAAAGCACCACCTGACAAGGAGACAGCGACAGCCCTGACAGAGGCATCCTGCTGGGAACAGCAGCACTCCCTGACACACACCTGACACAAGCTTCTTCTAGCCCATCATTGAGTCATAGACCAGTAGTCATAGACCACGATTTTTTTTTAAAGTCTAATGTGATTTTACACAACAATATTCCACCTATTCTATTCATTCAACAGGCCTAGTGCCATGATTCAGGAATGAGCTTTTACAATGCACACAGAACACATTTTCCCATGGTGTGGATTCTCTTATGGATCAACATACAGAAGCCAAAAAAAAAGCCAGGATTTTATGTTTATATCTTGGGAAAATTCTGTATTTCTATCCTGGAAAATGACCAAATAATTGAATACTTGTATCTTCTGCAAAGATTTTCACCACAAAAACAAGTTTGAGAGCTTCTTCTGGTGTTGCCATATTGTTGCAAAGGTTTCATACCTTCTTGGAGATTTCTCAGGGGCAGCTCCTCGCAGCACTGACTCCTTCTCCACACAGCCAACAAACTCCATCTCACATCTCAACCAGCCAACCTGCTCTTTTACAATACCCCTCTTAATTGGATCCAGCTGTGGCCTATTAAGGGCAGGCTTGTTCTTAATGCTTGATAATTGGCACAGCTGTAACTCCTTAGGGGCCAGATTACCTTCACCACTATCCCTATTCTCCTACATTTTATCTATCCACATTCTGGTAATGCCTAATAGTCTCCAGCCCTGTGTCCTGTCACACATGCTCTCTCCCCAGGCATGTTTCTGCAGCTCAGAGTCACAAAGAGGGACAGAGAGGCTACTGAAGAACAGGAATTGCTGCAAAAATTGAAAGAAAGACAGTCCAGTAGGACAAGGCATCAAGACAAGCAGAGGAGAGCTCATGTAATGGTCTCTACTCGGCAAAAGTATTTCTTTATAGTTATAGCTTCCCCAAACTCCCAACAGCTTTCTGTGTAAGGAAAAAAAAACAAACAAAAAACAACCTTAAACCAACCAAAAAAAAAAAAAAAAACAAACAGCAAAATGTATATGTATCATCCTGAATACTCAGTTGCAGCTTTAATGGACTGAATGAATACACTAAACAATAAATCAGTGACCATAACATGAGCTTCTCATGTGCTGTCTGGTATATATGAATATATTTCCATTAAAAAATTGAGTAAGGATTCACTTCTGTCTCAATAGGGACAAGGCAAAGGAAAGGAGGAGATGATGGTTTAATGCAAGAAGCTAAGGCTGACTGTGTAGAGCAGTCCTGTTATTTACCTGGCTCTCAAGCACACTCAAAGCACAGGGCTTTTGTACACACCAGGTAAAGAGAGCTTTGCAGGGCTCTTACTGCTGTAGGACTGCCTGAGACCTTCACTTAGCTGCAGTGTTTGGCATAGCTGCTGCAGCAATCCTGCACGATGCCTGTGTGCTTCTCAAAGCCCTTTTCCAAGTCTCTGCGTGATTTAACTGAGAGCCAATATTCCATTTCCACAATATTTTAAGTTAACAGCAAAAATATTCTGGACATATCCTATTACTCTGCTTGTCTTTTCCCCCAGGGCCTTTCTGCTGCCTCTGACAGCTTTCTGATTGCAGCCTTTCCTCGCCCAGCATTGCCTGAAGTTCCATCATCCAAATTACTGTACTTTAAGTCCCCTGCAGTAACTGTGGTTATTTCCAATATCCCAACAGGAAGACCCCCATCAAGATGAGTCATTCTTATTTCCAAGGGTGTTGTGCTGAGGCTGCTCGGAGGAAGATGCAGCAGCAGCTGCTTTGTATTAGCCTAGTGGGGGGAGAAAAGCACAAGGCCCTGCTTTCAGCTAAATTTCTTTCCAACAATACAGACATTTTTTCCAAAAATGATGAAAATGACAAACACTTACTCTAACAAAAACCCTGCTGGAAGCACCAGAGTCCTGAAAACCTCTGGAATTGTGCCATGATGTGTGGAAAAGGGAACTGGCTATTTTAAACTTGCTGCCGTCTGGACAGAAAGCAAAGCTTTGCTGTGAACTGCTGGGCCTCTGAACTGTTCATTCATGCGCTGTTCTTTGGCAGCCTTCACCATTTCCACAGAATCACTGGCAGCAGCCTCACTGGAGAGCAGGTAATTCTGACCCTGCAACTTATCTACCACTATTAATCACAAACAGGTTTTTAGCTGCCTCCTAGCAGTGCTTATTCAGAGCTGGTTTAGGATGGTATAACACTGCCGTGAAATCTCACACATACAGATTCTCTGAAGATTCAGAACAATCCTTGCTTTCCACTCAAAGAGCACAAGAAAAACCTTTCAGCATGTTACTGCTGCAGCACAGATAGAGCCAGCTCACGCAGACCTTCAAACAATGGAGCTAGAATTGGGTCAAGATGTAGCAGAAGACTGAAAAATCAAAGATCAATTTCCGTCTCTAATTCTGCTATCTTTGAAAAGAATCCTTGCATATTATACACAGGTAGCACATAGTCACTGGAATATCATCTCATTTACTCTTGGGCTCCAGAGAGATAGTCAAAAATGAACAACTGTCTGTGTGTATCAGCATAAGAACCCCACATTTCCAAGATTTCGAACATCACTGGAAAATCTGTCACCATAGGCATGTATTGCTTAGGTGTGATATGATGTGGCTTTCTGGAGCCTCTGTAATTAGTCAGTGATATAGAAAATGAGGAGTCATGGTCAGTGCACAGAAAACACAAGCAAGGCCAACCAACAAGTATCTGGACTTTCAAAATGCTGCTGAAACTCTGGTATGGGCACTTCTATGAACAGCAGGGCAGCCCAAGGTCAGAGACACAGGATTTCAGAGACGTGGTGGGGAAACCTCTTGGAGCCCATCTCACTTATGTTACTTTGAAAGCTGTCATTTCAATTGCAGATGTTTGTTACATTTTTTCTTCCTAGCTGCTCCTCTTTTCCCAAGTGGAATGGAAGTGGTGCCTGACAGGCTGTTTGGAAGATCAGGGATTTCTTTGTTTTTTGCTCTTAATGTTCTTGCTGAATTTATTTATAGCTTGGCTGGTTATTAGAACTTGTTCCATATGGTAATCTGGCAATGCCAAGCAAAGGATTTAAAATTAAAAAATAGATTATTTCAGCAAGAATATATATTTTTGTGATTTGGAAATTCACTCAAAAATATTGGAACACAATTTAACCCAGCTTTTCAGGGGAGAAGTGAGGGAGGAAAGTAGCCAGAGGGTAAACAGGAGACTATATGAAAGTAGAAATTTTCTTTCATGCTGTTGGAAAGTGGCCCAAAAGCTCATTGTGTTGAAGCCTACTTCAACAAGAAAAAAGAACACAGCTTTTCTGGATTAGAAGGTTTTCCAGTCTTCTGCTTCTGTAGGAAATGCAGCTATGAACCCCTTGGAGGAAAGCAAAAGGGAAACAACCCAGGAAGCAAACAATTTGGACCCAAACTAAGACAAATTAGATACATGCCTGCATTACTAGAACAGAAATACTAATAAACTACATATTTTGGGATTTAAGCATATAGAGAAAAGGCTGTTTGGCAATGCCAAAGGGACAATAAGAAATAAGAAATTATATACATCTAGGTTACCTTGAAAATTAAGCTTTAATGTTTCAAATGGCATAGTAATACCACAATGCAGGCTTTGGACCCCTGCTTCAAGGGTCTCTGGATTAGAGTTGACCAAAATCTCAGATACAGATTTCATGAGGGCATTTGGACTAGAAAAGAGAATTTTCTGCTTTGTAACTGGTTACAATAGAGCTTTGGTTTGCAGCCTACCTTCAGCATATATTTATTAAAAAAGGAAATACACAAGCAAAACATAACAAAACAGAACACATTTCCAAGTCCCACATGCTTTTCAACAAGTATGTCACAATTTCCCCACTGTATTCAGACAAGAATGGCAGAAGCACTGGAAAAATATATTGCACAGACAGCATCAGTAAACAAAAAAATTGCATTTTTATAACTAATAAAGTAAAAAGTTTGAACTTACAGAAAAAGTACTTGTCCCATAGACAAATTATTAAAAGTGAAGACAACATTCTCTATTCCTCCAATTACAACAGTGGAGACCTATATGTAGAAGAGAAAAGACTGATCAGTACAATCTTTGCCAAATTCTGACCAAAACTTCACAGAATTCAATATTATCACTAGCAGTAAGGTCAATGTGACATTCAAGCAAGACTGATTGCAGCCATTAGAGAGCCATTTGCTTTTTTGATGTCATAGTCTTTTGTAAACCCAAGTAAAAATACACAGAAATCAGGTGTGCTGCTGATTTTGTTTCTATCTTGGCCACTGTGCAAAATACAGTAGCCAGGAGCATCAGTCAAAAAATACAGGTATTACTGATAAGTAAATCAAACTTTGGGTTTCATTTTCTCACCTTGCATTAAAGGAACAAAGGAGTTTGTCACAAAACAAGTCCTAAGAGGAGTGCTGACGCATACTGCTCTGTTTCAAGACTTCTCAAAGACATTCAGTTATTGAGTTAGATGGAGTTTTGAACAAAGGCCAAGATTTGTGGTCTTTTACAGAAGTCTGTGAGAGCTGGCTGGCTTATGGGGTTCAGGAAGAAAACAAAACTGTTCCAGGGAAGGGGGCCTGACACACAGAGATGGGACATCATCTGGCTTGGCTATTGTGTTACAGTTACCAACAAGACCCAGCCAAGGGTTCCCAGGCTCATCAGAGAGGTGGGGATCTGTCCCAGTCCCTGGGGATTCCCTCTGAGCCAAGCAGCAAGGGAGTGCTGGTGTTCCCTGCCCAGTACACAGAGGAAGTGGCACAACACACTGAGGGACAGCATTATGGTGGGAGAAACCATCCCATCCCTGTCTGCACCTACACAATGACAGGGCCCTGAGGCACATATCCCCAACAGCCTGTCCAGCAGGAACACATCCATCACCCTCCAGTGAACTGGAGAGATGAGTGAGTGCAAGGGGGACAGAAACATTACACTATTCTTGGATGACAAGAAACCCTGCTGCACAATCTCAAGTGGTGGCTTAAAGCAGCTCGATGAACCTGAAGAGAAAGCAGACAATACATCATAAAATCACACTGGACATTAGCAGTGCTCAGGCAGATTTTGTACTCAATATATGAGGGGAGAAGAAGTCCTCTGCTCTTCCCCTACTCCAGCAAAATCCATGAGATTTTCATGCCATAGTAAATTGTTTGGTGGTTTGCTCTTCAACACCTCTCAACTGTCGCTAAGGTTACACTAATTAAAAGGAAAAGCCCTTGCTTGTATGAAAATGTATCTTTATATTTACAACTGTTTGCACTTTAAGACTGCCTGGCAAACCAAGGCACAAGGGGTTAACAACTACAGGTTTGTTTCGTGCAATAATTGAAGGTAAATGATCCTTTTCTGTTCCAGTCTTTCATGTTAAGGCCAAACTAGGAAGTGTTCTAGGTAGGTGGGACAACAAACTTCAAGGCAAGATTCTTCTTTGCCCTAATCAATCGGAAGGTGAGGGTTAAAGGCTACTGCAACATAGAAGGGGTATCCAACTAAATTTTAATATTTCTTTTTTTCTCCACATGAAAATTCTTCCTGAAATATACTTTCACACACATCTTTTATAAAAGTGTAAAGGTAAAAGATATATTAAAGTCATAACGGAGTAATAGCACATCTGTGAAAATTCAATTTCTGTGTAAGTATATGCTGCATTTTCTAGTTTCTTTTCTGATCCTGCAGAAGTCAGTATCTAGTGTGTGCCATCTCATGTATGCACCAGTTTTTCATTTGCCACATCCTTTTACAGTGAATGCAGTATTAATAGTGTTCTTATCCCTTCCAATAGAGCGCATTGCAGCAGTAAAAACACTTCAGGCAAAATAGGATTATCATAGCTTACATCCACAGCACAGGACATGTAAGGTCAAAAGTTTTCCTTGATTATGAATATCCCAGTTGAGATACCACCCACTCATTTTTTGAGACTACTTAGCATTCTCTCTGCTATTACACTGACAGCAAAAACTTTATGGACTGCAGTTATGGCCATGAGCGCTCTGTATTTCCTAAAATAAGATCCCAAGAACATTTAGTCTAACAAAAAATTAATGACAAGCTTGAGTCAATGAGAGTGTGGTTAGTGGGTGTACTGGCATTATAAGAAACTCAGAAGAACCAGCAGAGAGATTGCCAAGATCTCCTTAAATGTGCTCACCTCTCCCCAGAAGGAAACCACTTCTCCCTTCCTCACCCAGTCCCCTGTATCATTCACACTACCCAGACCCCAAAAAGATACACTTTGGTGTCAGGACCACCCCTCCAACTAACCATTCCTTGACACAATTCACAAATAAGCAGTTTCCCCACAGAGAGAGGTGCCATGGTGCTTAGCCATGCCTTGCTGCAGATGGATTTACATTATTTCCACTTCACACCACTGAAGAGGGAGGTCTCCTGCCAGCAGCAGACACAGTGCCAGGGTCAGATCTATAGTGTGGATTGTGGAGCCTGCTCAAGTGCCTGCAGGATTCCCCCAAGTACAGAGCACAGAGCTTTTTTCCCACCAGCTGACAAAGGATGATAAAGTGGGAATGAGAGCGGCTCCATCCTGTTTCACTGCACATAGCCTGTCAAAGCCATGAGCAAGTAGTCTGAGGGACAGCAGTGCCTTCCTTCCTGACACAGAAAAACCAGCAGGACTTTCAACTTCATGGAGGATCACTGAAGAGAAAGGCTCAGGTATAATTCAGTCCATGAATTTAAACAGTATTTAGAATGAGAGGTGCAGGACACAAAGCAATCACTGCCCCTAGTTGTGTGCTGTCTAGGGAAAAGGGCCAAGAGGAAAAAGTTTTATCACCCCATGACTTAATCTGAGCCAGGGGAAATACAGGGACATTTCTGACATGGATCATTACCAGTGAAACTGCATAGCTCCTACTACAGCATGTTCATATCACATCCCTGAGAGACATAACTCTGCCTCTCAATGGCCTGCATATGAATGAATTACAGGAAAAAATATATGCTGCTCAGTCTTGTTCTACTCCACATGTACTAAATCCTTGCTGCCTGACCTGGAAGGAGAAATGAAGTTTAGCATTGAAGTTTCCTCTCTGGGAAAAACCTTGGCAGTGGTTTTTCCCATCATCCAGCATTCCATGAAGTCCAGAGGAAACCATTTTAAAAATACCAGCAGAAAACATCTAAAATCCAGTTACAACCTACTTCCTACTGCTTTCATCATGTCTTCTCTGCCCTGGAACAGTTTAGCCTTCCTACACTGCAGAAAATGGGTGGTGAGGGGAGAGGATATGAAGCAGTAAATGAGTGGACAAGATGGACACATCAACCACTCAAAGCTTCCAGATGCTAACACAGGAAAAGAAAAACAGAAAGCTATCAAGGTAGTATCAGCAGGTAATCCTGATGACAGAGAGTTACACATTAATCCAATTCCTTCCAAGAAAAGAAATAAAGGTTCCAGGAGTAGGAATTCCCTGCTGCAGGACTTCAGAAAAACCTCAGAGAGTATTTCTTTATTCATGGCAGGGTTTAAAAGACAGTGCCTATTGGCTCTGGCACAGCTAGTGTATGTCACACACACAAGCACAGGCAGCAGACTCAGCCCTTCTGTGCTGTAGCATCAAAACAATGTTTGCATAAGCCTAGAAAACCCACGGCTCCTGTCCCACAGGGGACACTCAGACAAACCATAAAAGTGTGTCTGAACGTATTTCTGGCTTGCCACATTTTGTGCTGCTCAGCATCTTGAGTCTACCTCAGATCTGTGAGTCCATACACACATTCTCTGGAGGCCTGCAAAGCACTCTCTGAGCAAGCATTAAAACACATGGTTTTAATCTTCTGAAATGATTACAACTTAAAACAAATTAAAAGGGACCAACTGTCTGGATAGCCTGAAACCCATGCATGCAAAGGTTCCAGCAACAGAAGGCAGATCTGTGAGTCCATACACACATTCTCTGGAGGCCTGCAAAGCACTCTCTGAGCAAGCATTAAAACACATGGTTTTAATCTTCTGAAATGATTACAACTTAAAACGTTGGAGCAAAACAAATGAAAAGGGACCAAACTGTCTGGATAGCCTGAAACCTATGCATGCAAAGGTTCCAGCAACAGAAAGGGCTCTTCAGTGCAAAGTTAAATTCAGCCCCCACCTCATCTTTAACTTCATTCAAAACCTTTACTGCTTGATGTTTAGTAAAGTTTCAAAATCTGCTCTGTATGTGAGCCACAGTGGCTGTTCAGACACACATATGTGTGAGGGACAACACAGTGCAGCATGGGAGACTGCAACCACAGGGAATATGAGTAACATGCACAGGCATTGCAGAGCTGTGTCATGAATCAGTTCAGCAGAGACTGAACTTGCAGCTCTCAGTAATACCTAATGAGCTGCTGTTTTCCCCAGTGAGCACCATTTGGAGAAGTCTGGAGGCAACCACTGTCTTCAAGAAGGAAAAGTTCCATATCATGTCTTGTCTCCAGTGAAAACACCATTATAGCATCATTAGCCTGGAAGGATTTGAAAATAATTCCCATAGTATGAAATGTTTTAGGTTTATAAGATAGGCATGACCATTGACAAACTGCTTACCTATTGACAAATTGATTTCTCAAGTATTTCTCCTAGAAGATGGTTCCTAGAAGACGCCCAAGCACTTTGGCACCAGTCACAGCTGTGCTGGACACCATGCTAAGAAGTAAAGAAAATATATGGTCATGGTGCAATTTTTGGTAACCCTAGAGAGACCACATGAATGACAGATAGCTTGCAACCACTGCCTGTGACACCAATCAATACCAACAGCCCAGACAGGTAACAGATAATGCTTTGTAGGTGTCTTGAGGCAGCTCTCCATTTTCCATTCATCAAGGCTCAATCCAGAACTCTCCCAGCACTGTTGTCACACTTTCTCCCTCAGCACAGATGAGGCTGCTACTCCCCTGATGAGTCTCTACTAATGTTCTTTACCAAAATATAGACTAACTCACTGCCATCACCCCCACTTAACCACTGTCACTGGGAAAGAACTGCAAGTAGAGACAGTTGCTTTACCACATAAAAGAAGAA